ATCAGAATGGAAGAAACCGTTTTTAAACAGGATGGTCTTAATGGGCTAAAATAGATGGAAAGTTCTGGAGACGAAGAGTAATAAGTTCTCTGGTCCAGAGAAATTTTCTCTTTCTGTTGCATTAGATATTTATAGATTGAACTCACGTGTTACTGAAAACAACACACAGGAATTGTATGGCATAGAATAAATAATTCCATAAAGTGAGATCAACAAAGTATAAAGCCTACCTTATTTTTTTAAAGCCTGCCTTTTAAATCAGTCAGTTGATTTTATTTAGCAACTGAGTGAAAATTTTATCAATCTAAATATCGAAAGATAGGAATTCCTTGAAATAGTCCGTACCTCATCTATCAAACTGAAGGCAGTCGTAGATGGAAGGACTCTTTTTTGGCTTTTGTTATGATAAAAAGTTCTCACAATATACTAGAGGGCTTAGCACAGAGTTGGTTTTGTGTTCAGAGTGACATAGTTCAAATTTTGGTTTCACAAATTTGTCACCAAATGCAAGTTTTTACTATATATTTGTTTTGAGGCAAAACTTCAAATACTTGTAAAGTAGATGAGTATGAAGTACCGTATTTCCTTCAGTTCCATATCCTACAATATCAGTCTTTCTTTAAAAAAATAACCATTCATACTGGTCCCACCTGCAATCTTTCCAGGTCTTTGAGAGAGATGGATATCTAGTAAATTTATGCATTTTATATTGGTTAGCTCTTTTAGAAATAACCTGTGGCTTTTTCAACATTTAACCCATATATTCTGGAGATGTCTTTACCTTAATATAGATTCAGTGCAAATTTTAAAAACCCTATATAAGCATTCTACTATTCATAATATATAGATTATTTAATAATGCTGCAATGAATCTTCAGAAACATTTTTTTGAATCTGGAAAATAGCTTTTATTTTTTAAATTGGATTTATTGTGGTGACATTGGTTAATAAAATTATATAGGCTTCAGGTGTATGATTCTATAATACATCATCTGTATATTGTACTGTGTTAACCACCTGAGAAAAAATATTTTTAAATTTCTTTTCATTTTATTTTAGAGACGGGGAAGGGAGGGAGGAAGAAAGAGAGGGAGAGAAACATCGATTGATGGCCTTCCTTAATGCCCCCTGACAGGGGACCTCACCTGCAACTCAGGCTGTGCCCTGACTGGGAATCGAACCGGCGACCTTTTGGTTTGGAGGATGACACCCAACCCACTGAGCCACAGTGGCTGGGGCAAGATAATGTTTTAAAGCACGTATTTACCTAGGTTGGAGGATGTGGCCTGCAGCTGCGCTCTCAAAGGGGATTGCATTGAAACTTAGGACAGACTGGCTGACACCCTGCCCACAGCCCTACCGGAAAGAGGCTGCAGAGAGAATGCGCTGTCTCCTGGGCAGGGGTGTGGAGAATGCAAGGCAACAGATGGGGTCAGCACGGGGGAACTAGGGAGGAAAATGTGGAGGTTTTTTTCCTTTTGGGCTTCTCCCTGTCTGTGCTTTCTTCCCCTCCTTATATAATACTTCCCAGCACCCAGACAGTTCCCAGTGGGGGGCCTTCTTCCATTCTTTCCATGTATGCACCCCTCACCCCTCAGTTCGGGGCAGGCACTTTTATCCTCTTTTGCACCTGCCCTCCCTCATCCCTGCCCCACAGAGAGGAGAAGAGTGACTGAGAGGGGATGTTTGTATCCAAGAGAACTATAAAACTTTGAGTCATTCCCCCTTCCAGAAAGCACCGGGAATATCCAGCTTCTTTAATGCTGTGCAAGTCAGAGCGTGGACAAAGGGGGGAACTGGCAGAGAGCAAGCAGCTCTGCCCTCGTGGGGAGGCCCCAGCAAGACACAGGTCATGTCCTTCAGTATCTAGCAGCCCGCCGGCTGCTTGCAGCTCAACCCGGGGATGATAGGACGTGAACCTTCAGCTTTACATCCCCTCGGGGAGCCTTGATTCTGTCTCTCCCCGCTAGGAAGAGAAGGAGCAGCAAGCCAACCGGTTCAGGCTGCTCGCTGCAATCCTGTTTCTCACCCCTCAGCCTCACCCAGCGGCAGCCCCTTACTCTTCCTTTCCTACCAGCATCCAGTCATCATCAGTACAATGACAACAAATACGCATCTATCAACAACTGAATCTAAAAAACAAAATAAACAGGCAAGCAGAACAGAAATAGAATCATAGACACAGAGAACATTTTGACGGTTGCCAGCTGGGAGGGGGCCGTGAGGGGCTGGGGGACAAGGTGAGGGGATTAAGAAGTACAAACCGGGTCCTGGCTGGTGTGGCTCAGTGGACTGAGAGCCAGACTGTGAACCAAAGGGTTGTTGGTTCGATTCGCAGGCAGGGCACACGCCTGGGTTGCAGCCAGGGACCCTGGTAGGGGCATTCAAGAGGCAGCCACACATTGATGTTTCTTTCCCTCTCTTTCTCCCTCCCTTCCCCTCTCTCTAAAAATAAATAAATAAAATCTTTTTTAAAAAAAGAAGTACAAAGTGGTTGTTACAAGAATAGTCATGGGCATGTAAAATACAACATAGGGAATATATTCAGTAATAGTCTAATAACTATGTATGCTGTCAGCTGGGTGGGTGCAAGATTTATTGGAATGATCACTTATTAACTAATGCCTAATCACCAAGGTATGCACCTAAAACTAACATAATATTGTACGTCATTATAATTGAAAATAAAAAAAAAGGTTAAAAAAACAGTAAAAGAGTAGACAGTGACTTTAGTTTTACCAACTGAACCAACAACTCAGCTCACTCTGCGTGGATCCTGGCAGAACATGTGAGACTCCTGGGTATAAAATAAAAGACAGAATTTTTTTTTTTTATGGAACAGTAGGCAGGAGACGCTTCATGTTTGTAATGGTTTCCCTTGCCCTCCTCAAATACAGCTGAGGTGATGCGAGGAGGGCCTGGTGGCTGCTGTGCAGTGTAGGTTTGCATCACAGCTGAGGACTCTCAGACTTGAGAAATCCCAGTATTTAACATAGGTCACCAGAGCACTCTGTAAACTGGTAAAACCACCCCCAAGTTATGTGCTGTCATATCGAACATAAATAGACCATTCCCAATAAAGCCAAACACATTTTACTGCATACAATTTGGATATTTTTACTATATACAATTTGGATATTTTTTCAAAACATATAGCTCAAATATAAGGATTCAAATAGAAAAATTAAAACACATTCCACATGATTTTAATGAAAAGTATTGTAGAATGTTTACATATATATGTGTATATATAATATGTAAACCAAAAAATATGTTTCTGTATTTTTCTTGCACAAGATTAACTATATATCAGGTCAAATTAATTCTTCTGTGTTTCTATTTTTTTTTAATTTATTTATTTTTTAGAGAGAGGGGAAGGGAGGAAGAGAAACATCAGTGTGTGGCTGCCTCTCACACACCCTTTACCGGGGACCTGGCCCGCAACCCAGGAATGTGCCCTGACTGGGAATCAAACCGGCAACCCCTTGGTTTGCAGGCTGGCACTCAATCCACTGAGCCACACCGGCCAGGGCCATCTTTCCATTTTGGAATCTCTAGTACTTTGCATCAGATTTTTTCTTTAAAGATTGTTTGTTTGTTTTTAGAGAGAGGGGAATGGAAGGAGGTAGAGAGGGAGAGACAAAGATAGACATGTGAGAGAAAAAGCAGTTGCCTCACACATGCCTCCACCTCGGGACCTGGCCTGCAACCCAGGCCTGTGCCACGACCAGGACTGGAACCGGCGGCCTTTCAGATCGCAGGCTGGCACTCAGCCCACTGAGCCACACCAGTCAGGGCTGCATCAACTTTATAATGTAAATACAGATAGAACTATATTAATATGCTTTCAGAAATTGAGGAAATATTTATTTTATTGAGGAAATTGAAAAATCTCGAGCCAAAAACTCCTCATGACTTTCCCCTCTAAGTGGCTATCCCTCCTCTGCTTCAGAATTAATGGGAGGCTCCACCTTGACCTTATTTCCTCACCTGAGAGACCTCAGTCTCTCATGCATGCATGCACCTCATGCATGCACCTCAAACCTGTTTTTTGCCAACATGTCCAATTGGTATCTTCATGTAATAGACAAATTCTGCCTTCTGTAGATCCCAAATGCATGCAGTTTTATCCCAGACAGCATGTAATATTTTCATAGTCAATGCTCATTTCATAACTTAAAAGTCAGAAAAAGCCTACTTTTGCACTCTCCTTTGTCACACTGTTGGTCAACCTGGTTATTTTTATGTGACAATGTTTTAAATATACTCATATTCCTGCAAAGCATCATTTCAAATTACTATAATCAGTCTAAATATATGATGTACAAAACTCATTCTTGGTGCTTTTTGACTCTGCTTTCTGAAACAGAATTTATCCTAATTCCGTGGTATTCATTAATCTGTGAGAGCTTTTCTTCTTTCTTTGACCACTTCAAATGGTGTTTCTCTGGTGGGGATCTTTTCCTATCTAACAGGCATTAACTAACTAACAGTTAATGCCTGTGAAAATTAATTTTGTCAGGCTGAAAGCTACAAATTCTATGGCTTCTCCATAATTTTCAAATTGTTTTAGGAACAATTTTTTTTAATTTATTGATTTTTAAGACAGAGGGAAACATGGGTTTGTTGTTCCACTTATTTATGCATTCATTGATTGAGTCTGGTATGTGCACTGACTGGGGATTGAACCCATAACGTTGCCCATACCAGGACAACACTCTAACCAACTGAGCTACTCATCCTGGGTAGGGACAACTCTTTAATACTGCACAGACTATGAATTTATCCACTGCACTTGTTAATAAGATTTCAATCACATAAGAATCAACATAGTGATTTTCTTATATTTTATTTATAGTTGATATTCAACTTACTGATTATTTAAGTAAATAATTCTGTCTTGGTCACTACTGCCTTATAACTGTTTCAGAAATGTACTTAAACTCTGAGAGGATTAATGAGTAGACATTAATCCTAAACATTGTGAGTACACATACAATTTACATTTCCCTGGTAATTGCAGGGGATTTTGTGTTCCTTTTCCAGGCGAAGCAGGGCCAGGACCCTCTGGAGTCATGGGTCATGAGAACATAGGGGCTGACAGCTGGGAAACACACAGCGACCAGGGTGGTTCTCTTCACCAGCCACGAACTGGGTCTGTTAAAGAGAGCCAAACAAATGTGAAAGGAGGAAGAGAGGGTATAAAAAGACGCAAAGGTGCTCACCAGGACAGGGATGCTCTGGGTGCCCCTGGACTCAGAGGATCTGGGGGAGAGACTGTTGCTATGGATGTATTGGATCTGCTGCTTGTGCCTGTACAGAATGAGGACGATGGAGACACTCGCCCAGATCATAAGCCCCAAACAGAAAACATCGTGGAACAATACCAATGCCAAATACGCTAAATACAGTGACTCTGTGACTCTTTCATGAAGGACAGAGGAACAGTAGCCATAGTCTCTTCTCTTTGTGATATTTTCATTGTTCAGGTGGCCAGTCACATACACAGGAACCATACTACTTATCATCATGTGCAGAACCCAGCAGAGGAAGGTGGAGGTGCCCATGTGCTTGGCCACCTTCGCTTTAAGTTGTGCCCCCCTGGAGTTCGTGGGGCTGATGGTGATGGCCTGGAGGATGCTCAGGAGGCAGGTGGTGCCCAGAGACACTTCCCTGCTCACGCTGTGAATGTAGAAAACAAGTTTGCATCCAATATCCCCGAGAAAAGGTTTCAGCCCGAAAGCTGCCATTGTTTCGGGAACTGCTTTAGACAGAATGACTAAGGAGTTGGCGACAGTCAGGTGCCTGTGGACCAGGTCTGCAGACCTCAGCCGGTGTTCTGTCAGATGAAGAAAGAGATAACGGTAGAGAAGAGAGAAATTCCCGAGGATTCCAAAGAGCGTCTGTAGTAAAAACAGGATGCCTATCCCCCAGTTGCTGGTTGCCATCCTTTCAGTTCTCAGGAGCGGACAGTGTCTTCAGAGCCACAGATTCCTGCGTGGAACACAAGGCGAGAAATGGGGGGAATGAAGATTCTCCAGTTGCATTTGTTCCCACTTAGAAATAATCACTTCAAGTATTTCTTTAGTGATTGTGTTCTTAGAGTTGGATATGTCACCTTTAAAGCCCCCTTAAAGAATAAGTCACAGTTGTGACGGTTGAACATGAAGTAAATGCTTATTGTTCCTAATGCCGTGAGGTAAGCAGCACTGTTATCTGTACTGAAATTATAAGGAGTGTTTAGGTAGAGAAAGGCTAATGATTTGTCTAAATTCAATCCTTTACAAAGGGCAAGGTAGGGTCTTGAATCTGGCTGGCCTGGTAAAAAGACAGTGTAATGAAACATTGTACTATTCTAACTAGCTAGTTAGCTGTGTTCCTTAAATAACGCAGGTGAGTGTTCAGTCTTTTTCTTATCTCATCATAATACATTTGATTGGTTGTATTTTCTTTTATAATTTCTAATGTTTCCATTAGTGACTAAAGATTTATTGTATAAACCAATTCCTGATTGTGAATAAAGATTTACATATTTTAATACAACCTGTATGCACTGATCGGAGTATAATTTTATAGGAACTTGTTCCATGACAAGCTGTATTTAAACAATACACAATGGGCCCTGTATTGGGGTGGCAACAGAAACATTAATTTGCTTTTATGGCTGGACCGATGGACGCATGTCACAGGAATAACTGGATGCTATGTTCTGAATCATGGGGCATGAAACAGCAGAAAGTAGTAGAGTGGAGAGTAAATATTACCAGATCTCAATCATACAGTTACCTGTATCAGTGCCTGACTGAAGCAAAAATATTAACAAGGCAAGGTTTGTGAAAGATGTCAAAATACAAAATGTATACAGAAACTGTAAAATGTGAAATCTTGTGTGTTTTATAAATTGAAATTGTATAACGTACAACTGATATGAGATTATTTTTTAAATCTTAAAGTTCTTATTAGCATTTTATTTTATTTAAAAAAATCATGATTCAATCACAGTTGACATACAATAATATATTAGCTTCACGTACAACATAGTGAGTAGATGTTCATACATCTTACAAAATCATCATTCTGATAAATCGAGTCCCCACCTGACACCATACATAGTTATTATAATATTATTGCCTATATTCCCTCTGCTGGACTTTACATTTCCATGACTGTTTTTGTAACTACCGAGCTGTACTTCTTAATACCATCCCCTTTTCACTCATCCCCCCAATATGATAATATTTTTAAACCAGGGAATATATCACAAGCTATATCCGTGTCTACAACTGATATTGGAAGCTCTTTGTTGTAATGTTGCCTCTTTCTTAAATGCTGCTTCCCCAAATTGATGGAAGACGGCCTCACCGGAATCAGCACACCGTGGATGTTTCAGTAGGAAGCAATTGCCGTCTCTACAAGCACTCTATACCCACAGTCAGATAAAGCACTTCCATTCCAGCAATTGTCATTCAGATACAGTCCAGGGGTCCCCAACCTCCGGCCACCACTGACCGGTACTGGTCCTAGCCTGTTAGGAACCGGGCTGCGCAGCAGGAGGTGAGCTTGAATGTAATGCCCTTGAATCCCGGCCCGACCCCTCCCCCTGCCCCCCCCCCCCCCCCCGGCCCCGGCCACACCATCCCTACCACCCTGGTCTGTGGAAAAAATTGTCTTCCACGAAACCGGTTCCTGGTGCCAAAAAGATTGGGGACTGCTGATTTTTCTGCACAGGATGAGACAATGTCTGAAGATTGATTTTACCCTTTCTTGCCAGGTGAGACGTTACGTGTGCACCTGTAGCAACTCTGAAAATCCAGCCTTTGATTCCTGTGAGGTAGGTGCCAGAACTACAGATTTCAAAGTGAGTTCAGACCTGCGGTCCTCAGGCACTAATCAGGTCTCATTACCACTTGCATTACATAGCAACCCCCACTGCCGGTTAGGATGACAGGACTCTGCACGAGGAGCCATTGGGGACCGCCGGGCTAGAGCCCCGTGTCTCTTTACTGGCTCAGCTAAGGCTTCAGGTTTGACGCTTCCTCCTTGAATTGCTTTAGCACTGAACCAGTCTCAAGCCCAGAATGGTCACTTCTCCCGATACGGTCACTTACCCAGACTCCTGCCGCCTCTCCTTGTTTGCATACTTTGCCTTTCAGACTGAAGGCAAAAATACCTGTGACCTCTTCCAGCTGCCAGGATGAGGGTCAGTGAGAGATCTGGTCACAGCTAGTAGTGTTGTGTGGGAGGGAGGCACAAGATATGGGTTGGGATTCAGTGACCTCACTTCCCATGGGGACAGCAATTATCACCTGTCACAGCAATGAGAGGACACGCTTGGGAAACTGAGAATATTTCTGAAAAACATTTTCTTCCGTTGCTGGTTACCGAAAAGGAAATTAACCCAGTTGCACGTTTGTAGTTACCTCCAGAGACTGCTGCGTTGTTTGGGAGAGGCACTTTCTCCTTGTTGGTCTTTCGAGGCAGGCAGGGGCTCCGGTGGAGACAGCAAGAAACACTGCGGTCTGACACACGAGGAATTTTCAGGGAAGCACAGAGGCGTCTCATTGGCTATTTTGCTCTCCTGAGTTTTTCTGCCCCAGAGTGAGTTCTTTCCTAATTATTTCTTTTACTTTATTTTTATTGTCAACACTATTAGAGATCTTCCCGTTCCCCTGTCCTTGGATTGGTTCCCCCAGCGTCATCCCCTCTTCCCTTAGGACATCACCGCACTGTCGTCTGTGCCTCTGGGTCATACATGCATGTTCTTTGGCCAATCCCTTCCCCTTCTTTCACCCAGTCCCCCCTCCCCTCTGACAGCTGTCAGTCTGTCCCATGTATTTGTGCCTCTGTTTCTATTTTGGCAGTTTACTTTGTTCATTAGATTGCACATATAAGTGAGATCATATAGTATGTGTCTTTCTCTGGCTTATTCACTGAGCATAATAATCTCCAGGTCCCTCCATGCTATTGCAAAGGTAAGATTTTCTTCTTTTTTATGGCCACATAGTATTCCATGGTGTAAATGTACCACAGCATTTTTATCCACTTATCTACTCATGGGCATGTGGGTCTTTTCCAGATCTTGGCTATTGTAACTAACACTGCAATGAACGTATATTCTTTTGAAGTAGTGTTTCAGGATTCTTAGGATATATTCCCAGAAGCAAGATTGCTGGGTCAAAAGGCAGTTTCATCTTTAATTTTCTGAGGAAACTCCATACTGTTTTCCACAGCGGTTGCAAGAGAACTAAAGGAAAAAAGTAAACAAAATGTCCAAAATGGGACTGCTGTAGGTGGGAATTACGTTCTTCCACGGGATCACAGGGAAAGCATTCTCAGGGCAGACACGCTGGAGACTGTTGGCTGGAAAACGGTTCATTTGTGTGGGAATGGAAGCAGTCCCCGGGGCTTCCAATGTCTCATCTCCCTCTGTCCCACCATGGAAACAGCCCAGCCCTGTCCTCAGCAGAGCCAAAGCAAATGCCCATGTCCCGAGTTTCTGCTCCATATTATAGTCCAGCCCAGCATCTTGCTAGCTTAGTGCGTGTTTCCAGCTGCACGCCATTGTCCTCTTTGGAGCCCACATGGTCTGCCCCAGGCCCCAGGAGATCAATTTGACTCACATGGTCAAGGGCTCCTAAGCAAGAGAGCACATGAATGCAGGGGTAAGTGCATCACCAGGAGGGCACGAGACAGAGCTTCTTTGTTCTCCTGGCATTATATTAGTTTGGGCTTGGGTAAGACCAGGTGCCCTTTCAAAAGAACCATGCACCCTCCCAGGCTCCCTTGGGCTTTGGATGGGTCCACCTTCCAACAAATCGCTTCTTTCCCCAGGTTTGACTGACAGGTCTTTTTCGTCAAGCACCTCCCGCTGTGCATTTTGACTTCTGTTTTGCTGCGCCTGCCTTCCCCCTGCTCCCACCTGGCAATCTGGTACCAGAGTGGGGAAGGGAAAAGTGTTAGTCCTTTTGGTGGAACACAGTGCTGTAGCCTCTGGGCTGTGAAGGTGTAGCTGCCTGGCTAGCAAGCAGGCATATGCTCCCCATTTTATTAAGCTCAGTGTCTAGTTCCCTTTGCTCCTCTTTTCTAGCTAAATACCAATGGTAACCTGACTACACCGAACTAAAAAGGTTCTGCACAGCAAAAGAAACCATGTACAAAGTGAAAAGGGAACCCACTGTATGGGAGAACATACTCCCCAAGGAGACATCTGATAAGGGGTTAATCTCTAAAACATGTAAAGAACTTACACAACTCAACACCAGGAAGACAAACAATCCAATTAAGAACTGGGCAAAGGACCTGAGTGAACATTTCTCCAAAGAGGACATATAGATGGCCAACAGATTTATGAAAAGATGCTCAATGTCACTAATCATCAGCGAGATGCAAGTTAAAACCACCATGCTTTATCACCTCACAGCTATCAGAATGGCTACCATTAATTAATCAACAAACAGATGCTGGTGAGGATGTGGAGAAAAGGGAGCCCTAGAGCACTGTTGGTGGGAATGTAGCCTGATTTTTTTTTAAATACATGGCATTTATTGCACCTATAAAATATTACAAATAAGTCTGAGGAATCATCCAGCATCTTGCTGCTTCTATAGCTGGACAACTTAGCTCTTATTCATCAGGCTGCTGAGCTGTTCCGTTTTCAGAAACAAAGATATCATCCCAACTTTTTCTGATATCTTTACTGTTGTGGCTTGCTGAATCAAAGCAGCTGAATTGAAGCATTCAGCGTTGTTTCCTTCAAGAAATAACTAATTTTTCTCGGCTTGAGATACTGAACAAGCAATGCCTGGACTCACCCAAACGCTACAGATGTATATTTTACCCAAAAATCTTCTAATTTCAACAAGAGACCCATTCTCCTGATAATGACATTGATGCGGAAGCAAGCACACACAGACCTCGTCTTGTAAGAAAGCCCAGTCTAACACCATGT